CGTGTGGGCAGATCGATTTCTCTTTTCGGGTGTGAAGATCGGAAACTGCTGAAAGAAATTGTCGCTTCTCATACCGGCAGTCCACTAAAACAACGTCGTATCGATGCTAGTTGGTGTTGTTCATCATTTTTAACACTTTCTGCATGAATTTTATTGGTATTGTTGCAGTTCGTCGTGATTTTAAGTATATATATAAAGTATGTTTATAAAGTATATATATTTAAACTATTATAGAAAGTATCTTAAGTGTCATACGGATATTTATCTGCTCATTCCATTTATGTACGTACATATATAATCAGTGGTTATATTTTCGTAAAATACAGGCGTAATAGAAATGTATTCACAACGAATCGCATCACTCGAAGAGAGCATTACACGTGTTGAAGAAGAGTTACAAACCGAACGCTCTTTACGTATGGCTGAAGACGAAGTGGAGCGCGGTGAGGATAAATTGAAAGGACGAGTGCAGAAACGTCAATGGATGCAGGTGAACACCGATAGAAACGGTTAGGTGTTTATACCTGTCACTTCATATGATCAGATTATCACGATTGCTCCGAACTGAATTCTTCAATTTGAAAAGAATTTCAGCTGAATCCACAACGTACCATTTCATCTTGAGCGATGGTTGATCGCTTATTGTTTTTTGTCTTGTATTCTTTGACCCACAGCAAATTCGTTACTCATTGTTTGTTTTTATTTTTTTTCAGCTTCAAATGGAATGAAGAAGAAGAAACTTCAAAAGCCGGAATCGAAACCCACTGTGAGTTGTTCATTTCGCAGGCAGTTGATTAATACACTAAATAAAAACGAGGAAAACTCAAATACTGATTTCGAAAGTTTCCAGTGAAATTTTCTTTAAATCGTTGTAGATTCATTTTTGAGTATGTTGACTAATTTGAAGTGGTTAAGGCCGAAGAAATTCAACAGAATAAATCTGATGCATATGAGGTTCGGAATGCAAAACGTGCTCGTAAGCAACGTAGGATTCGTGCCGTAGTAGATGATGACGAGAAGAAGACGAATCGAAAAGGAAAAAAATCCAACAAGAAGAAAAGCACATTCACAAGCCGACTGACTTCAATAAGTGCCAAAAGTGTAAAAGGTTTCAGACATGGGTGAGTCAATAGGTTCATGTTTATCATTCTTAATACATGTGTGATATCATTCAAATGGTTCGTATCGTGAAAAGCAATTAGAAAATAACAAAAATATTTGAGTTTTTTCAAGCACTGTTGTAAACCTCTTGATTTACAGGCCATCCGATGCTGAGTTCAAGTCGGCCAAACTGAAAAGGATGAAGTCGAGAAGGGGAAAACGACAGTGATTCTTTGAAAAATTCTTTATCAGCTTTTTGAATATTTGTTGTTGAGTTGTTGAATATTTCTAACAAGTAAAATCTCGTTATGATGTTTGTTTCTTCGCTTTACAAATTATTTCGTGACTTCTAAAACCTCGGGTGATATTTTATAAAGTAAATTTTTGTCAGCTGAAACTCAAAATAAAAACGGACAGTGTCCTTTGGAAGGTACTGAGTCTCATTCATTCTTCGACACTTCCCAATTTACTCTCGAAAACTATGCACTATTGAAAATTCAGAAGGCAGTTCATACTAAACGTAGCACTGCATATTGGTCCTGAAACAACATATTTAGATAATTGTCAAAATAATTTGATATTTGCAAATGCACGAATCTCAAAACTTGTTCACTGATCAACTATATTATAAAAGAGAGTAATCAGTTGTGGAAATGACAAAATGAAAAATCGCACTAGAAATCTGTACGTAGCTGTCGATTTCGCGTTAATCACAAGCAAAAATTATTGTTGTATTCCAATTCTTTCCTTCCTTGGTATTCTTCTTTCCCCGTAGCTAACGATAATAGCGTTGGGAATCATCTCCATGAAATTCTAACGTGGATTATTGATTTGACAAGCATAGAGATTTTAGGCTACTCTCCCATATTGCCCAATGATTTTTAGGGAGAGGGACTCAAAAGGAGCCCAAAAATGCGTTCCGACTGATCGATTGAACATTCGATATTTGCGACCATAACAGTTAATATACTACCGAGAAATATAGCAGTATACGTGAAGTGTAGATTGCAATTCAAAGAAGATATGATGTTTTTTTGAATCATAAGCATGCTGAGTTGCTTTGACGCATAATTGGATTGCCGTTTTTGCTGAGGGTAATTTTACGTCTGTTCACCGTACGATTGTAAAAACACACTAATAAGTGCATCTTTTGAATTATGATTGCATTGTGATAAATAATTAGTTTTCCTTTTATGATCACAATCATTATCGTTATCATTCACCTTCAACTTCAACACTTTTTTGGATGTCAATCCTTTCACCGATTCACAAAGCAATCGTGAACCTTTCAGCGCTTCATCCTTACCCCTGTTTTCTAAGAAAGTCTCAGTTTAGCACATCATGTACAATTTGCTTGTCTTTATATTCAGAATTTGTCGCCATA